CAAAGGACCCCAAATCCCTGCTGCTTTCATCAGTTCCCCTCCTTGTGCCCCCAGTTTTCCTTCCCCCTCCCAGCCTCGTAGACACAGCTCCAAGCCGCAGCACACTGTGACACTACCTCTTCTCCAGGCCCCTCCACCTCTCACTTTTTCATCTTCTTTTCAGCTCCCCCCTGCCCATACCCCTCAATATTTTTTTTATATGCAAACAAAAGTGCAGAGAAGCATTTCCATGGCAGCAATGCCGCAGCGGGCCCTCCCCTCCATGTGGATGCGAGCTCTAAACTTTTAAAATAATGGCCTGAAAAGAACAGGAAGGGGACAGCTTGAAGCAGAGAAAGAGCGAGGGAGAGTGCAAAAGCAATGAAAAGTGGGACAAAACCATTGGAAATGCATTCAGGCTGACATCACCACCCTTTCCCACAGTGGTCATTCACTCAGGAGGCTCCAGTGTCCATTCACTGTCTTAAAGCTAGCTTTCTAGAGCCCTGGGAGACCATCTTTCCCGGCCTGAATGCCTTTTTTGTTGTGAAACAGTGAACTGTTTCTGAAACCCTGCATAAAGGGCTGAGTAATTCACTGCAGTTGCCAGGAAGTCTGAGCCACTTGTGAGCTAACAATAGTTAACTTTATCTGCCGGCCCAAGCCCCCCTTCCAGCTGTAGGTCCCGAATTCTAATAAGGGCTTTACTCATGCCTCTGAGGTTATGGTAATATTTTATACATCTTTTTTCATTAAGACACAGTCATAGCTACTGTTGAGGCACCGGAGGCAAGTGCTGTCGATCGACGGGGGCGGAGGGGAAGGGGGGGAAAGAAAGAAAATAGCTTTTTATATCAGGCAGGCAGTTTGGCCATTTTATACTAGATATATAAACTTGGTTTGGGGGAAACCAGGGAACATAATTTTTAAAAAATTGCATTAGAAACTCCAGAGTCAAGCAAGACCTTATGATTGCTTTCTATCTGTGAAACGGCCTCAGCTTTTCATATTTTGGGGTTGTTGTTTTTATTTTTTGTTCGCCTCTTCTCCTCTGTCCCTGCACTGCAGGCATGATGGTGACAAGAAAGCGGGTGAATCATGAGGGAAGTAGATGACTTTGTTTGGGTTTCCCTTTTAATCTGGATTTGGATGTTGATGCTCAGAAAAATTCTGCACAGTGACAGCACAGCTGTGTATAAGTGGTGACACAAAACAGTGATTCAGACGTGGTCCTGCAATGCCGATAACCATGGCGTGCCTTTGAAAGATGTGGATCATCAATTTTCTTCTTTACTTTCTGAACTAGTTGCTTTCTTGAGAACTAATGAAATCAAGTTCCATGCAAGAAAAGTTCTAAATTATCCCTTTGGCCTCCAGTACTCTGAAAAAGAAAAAAATAATTGCTTATTCCTCACTTTTAAACAAAACATTCAGAGTGCAATTTATTTCAGAGCATCACTGTGAACATCCCCGTTCAAGGTAAAAGACGGCACAGCTTGAACAACTCTCCCGTGTCTTTGGTGTATGTGTCTTGCTTGCTATGTCTTGAGAAATAGCATTAGAAACGCTAGGATGGAAAGAAAAGCACATCTTTCAAAGTTCCGCTCAATACTTTATTAATGTTTATAAAGAGTGATTGAAACATGCATGCATGTTTTGTAAAACTAAACCACAGAGATGTACTTGATGTATTCCCCTAGCACAGCAATACTGTTTTCTTGATCTGTACTTATGACACCAACTGATGCCAGTGGGAGCTGCATATGTTGTGGATGAGGTCACTACAGGGTCACTGCATAGTAAATAAGTTGCTTGGCTTTTGGGGTAAGTTCAAGTCTTGAATTGCTTTCATATCTTCTCTCCAAGTGACCTTTACCAGGGGGGGAATACCATGTGCTGATGGAGTGACAGATTTGAACTGGCCCTTTTCCTGTCTAACAGCAATGACTTCTGAACTTCACTGTGGGTTTGTCTTGACAAGAATGAAAAGCTGCTTTCAGAAGGTGGAGGCTCACAAGCTATGCGTTATGTGCACACACACATGGGCACACATACATCCTCCTCCTCCCCAAATACTCTCTTTTGCCTTAATCCAGACAAACTGTGAGAGCAGCCAGACACCAGAATGGCAGAGCCCACAGGTAGCAGGCAGAGGGTAGAGTGGGGGTGTTGGAGAGACATTTTACAAAAGACATTTATTAATCATGAACTAACTGTAAAGTCATCAAAGCTACCCCCGTGGCCCTGACTGAAAGCTCTGATCTACTGGTAGTGTGACTTTCTGTCAGTGTGGACTGCTTCTGCTCTTGAGCTGAAACATGTGAGCTGAAGCTGACTGTGTTGTATTTTGACAACCCATTTAAATAAAATGAATTTATTTGCTAATCCTTTGGGGGAAGGAGTATAAATTAGAGGGACTAAGAGCATACGACGGAGAGAAAAGGAATCCAGCTTTCCAATTTACAGTGACCTTCAGGATTCGCCATAAACCTTTACCACCCCCAAATGAACATTTAATCTCATTCTGGAGATAAGTTTTGATGCATGTAAAAATCTGACCACTTTTTTACATGCCCAAATGCAAACCAAGCTCTTTTGAAAGCCATGACCTGTGATACGGACTTAAAATTTGTCCCCTAATATACTCATCTGATGCATGCGTCTGTATCCCTCTCTAATCATCTCTTCCCTCTCAGAGCACCGTAAATACACCAGGCAACTGTATGCCTTGACTAGATGCAATATGATTTCATTCTCTCACCCCATTCGGCTATCTACCCACCAAAATGTGCAATACTGTGGAATCGCCATCAAATCTGGGTGTGATAGGATGCCAGGAAAAAAACAAAACAAAATCAGAAAGGATTAAAAAAACACAGCAGCACTCCAGTATTTCAAAGTGATAGGCAGGATTTCTTCTGGAAAAAAACAGTGATTGTGATTTTTTTCCATTTTAGATAACCAGGTCAAACATTTTACACCCCATGTTGTGAAACCTCAAAATCTCAGCTGTGGAGTTACCTGGAATGAAGTCTCTCCATGACTTTTACGTTTTACTTGTGCTTTCAAGTTCCATAAAGCAGTCTCTTTGAACTCAGTGCCCTACTCAGCCCCTTCTGGCTCCTAATGCTTTGTCCTCTGCTTTTAGTGACTTTTTTTTTTCCCCTGTTTCTAAGCCTGGTCTCTCTATCCTTCTGTTCTTGCAGACCTGTCTCTGACTCCCTGAGTTTTCATTATTTAGTGGGATTCTTTCTCCTCTTCTGCCACCTGGGCTGTCTCACTTGTTCTTGTTCACTCTGCCTTCAAAGGCTTCTTTGTTTCCAAGCCTCTCCCATTGGACTCGGCTTTTTTTATTTTTTATTAGAAACTTCTGGCTCAGAAAGCTTCAGCATCCTGTCAAGGACCACATTAGCTCTCGGTAAGTGTGTCCTACAGCCCTAGAGCAGCTCAGAGTTACCTTGGGATCCAAAACTCTGTGAAGAACAAATAGCTAACAGCACACAGCTTGCTCAGACAGTGCTCTGCTCTTCTCCTGACAGCCCCCTGTGCTGGAAGAAACAAGGTGAGAGATGCTCCATATAGTGCAGGTTTGACTCACCATGAGGTTTCTGCATGAGAAGATCCAGCAGCTTTTTACCCATTTGTGATTTGAGGACAGCATGAAACCTCAGAAAGTGAGCTGTAAAGTCAGACTGTAACTTTGCTGGCCCAGCTCTTCCACTGGACTGCAATAGCTACCTAGGCTTTACTTCGTCTGGCTTAAGGGAGACCTCTACTGAACCAGAAATGGTGGGGCACCCTGAGCAATCCTATCTGACACTGAGGGCCACAGCATTCCTCCTCACTCTCTTCCTCATGAAAGTGCCAAGGAAAGGCAACTGTGAAAGCTGTAAGAGAGTTATAAACATGAATAAAGAAATGTTTCATTCCTATGCTGGTTCTCAGCTAGGATCCCTATTACAAGATAAAGTTGAGGCAGGAGAAAAGGCCTTTCCTCTTTTTACATCTTTAGAGAGTAAATATGCTAAAAATAAAACTGCAGAAGAGACAGTAAACCCGATGCAAGTCTCTGTTATATATATTAGCATACCAAAGTCACCGTCATGAACCCAGTGTTTGGAGTTTGCCTGTTCATTAGCTGGATTGCTCCATTTTGACGGTGCACTGGTTTAGCACTGATGTAACATCTTCAAAGTCAAACTCTGTGAGCCCAGTTTGAAAGACTGTAAGCATTTCCTTCAGGTGGCCAGGCAAGCAAAGCAAAATGAAAGCTGCTGGTGGGTGAAAGGAATAAAAAAAAACAGGATAGAGAGTGTGATATTTCTCAGTCGCACTGGAAACGCTGCAGGAATCCTAAAGAACACATCCAAGCTGAAAGGAGAAAGAGACAATTTTTGGCTGGAGTTGGTGCAAACAATTACTATGCAAGCACTGAGGGCAGACTTGCCTCTTTTTTTCAGTGGTTCAGGGAATAGATTTGGCTGTGGGGTAACGGGCAGCAACTCCTTTTTAATGCTTGCCTGTCTGTGTAACACAACCAGAAAACTTCATTTCTGCACTGGGAAATGCCACTTAAAAATCGAGCCATTGGTCCTTCATTCAGAAACCTGATGTTAGCCCAGTTATTCTCTCAAGTCATCTTTGCTGGTGAAGTCTAATTTCAACTGCATGTGTGTCTTTATCTTTTCTGAAGCAGGAAATATTAATCACTAAATCTGATTGGTCTCACTGCTGCTTACCCCAGGGCAGCTTTTTTAGCTTATGAAAACTGGTGTCAGTTGACATCGTCATCCACATGGCTTGATGAGTAACAGCCAATGCTGAGCTATTTCCATTTTAACTAGACAATAAAGCAGAGAAGCTGATAAACGCTGAGGTAAGGTAGATTTCAGCAGGGAGGTTTTATGAAATGAAGTTTTCTCATTGGCCTCATACCCATCCTATTACTGGAAATGGAGCTGCCTATGCTCATCCTTTTAATGTTTTTATTAAGAGATCTCATCAAAAGACAAGAGAAGACTGTGCAGCCAACTGAGAAAATTAAGGGGGAAAAGGCTTATTGTTATATATATGTTCTTTCCTCCCACTTTTGCAGAGCTGTTCTTGATCCTTTCAAAGCAGTCTCCCTTTGAGAAAAGAAGATGCTGTTAGCTCAAATCATACAAAGAAGAAATTACAACAGTTAGTCTTTTATGTTAATGTTTGAGTCCATTAATGCCATTATTATTTATCTAGCACAAACTGAATGCTAGAGGCTTTTCAGATAGCAAACTCCGTGTCCCAGTGTATGGTGTATGGGTAATACATGCAAGAGAATGTGTGAGTCGGCATCTAATTAGGTGCTGGCCCGCAAATGAGGAGCTGGGCACTGGGATCCCAGCTCTGCGGCACAGGGGTAAGCCAGGCTAACCACACTCAGCTCAGCTCTCAACTTTGAGGTATGAGGCCTGATCTCTCAGTGTGTTACTTCTCCTGCTGGTAAAAGAGAAGCCACTATACTTTGTGTCTTTAGATTTCAGAAGGTGTCAGGAAACGCAACTTCCCATGTAGATAAGGACTACTTAGCATACTGGGACATGCTCTCATTAGAGGCCTCCGTGCACTGCTACGGTGTAATACCTCAAAATGCATTTCTTCCTCTGCCAGAACACTTTTTGATTTTCTGTACTCAGTTCCACAAACATGCAGTGAAATTTCACCTGTAATTTTAACAAGTTTGCTCCATATGTCCTTTTAAAGATCCTTTTTGTCTTTGAAATTTTAAATTTTAAATTAAACAGAAGAGGTAAGGGGCAAGCTGAAGGATAGGGGAAAGTCTTACAATGCTTAGGATTAAGTTTATTGTAATTTCTTCCAATTTTTTCCCCTCCTGTGCTTCCTTGGAGGGAAGTTTGAATGGAAAGTCAGGCAGAGTTGATTCTTGATTTCTCTGGATACCACTGTAGAAGAAAATTCACTACACTTAATTGCCTAAGCAGGTAATACTTTCTCCTCTCAATATATAGGATTTTCCAAGCTGATACACTCACCTGTCCTCTAACAAAGTCTCTAAAAACCAGAGAGAAGAGGCTGACCTGGTCCAGAGGTTCTCCTCCATTTTGGGTGGAAGTGCAGAGATTAAGCACCTTCATAGGGTCACTACCACACATCCACACTTCAGAGAGACCCCTCTGGTGATAAACAAAAGCAGCAGGTGAAAGACAGGACAGAAAGGGAGAAGTAGCTGTGTTTCTTCTGATCCTTCTCACCTGCCCCAGGCCTTGTGTGTGCCAAAACAGAGGTCACAGGTGCTGCAAAAGGGCACTCTTCTTTGCTTTTTGAGGAACATCAGGGCTGGTCCTGATGAGCTGGAAAGAGCCTTTCCATGTTCCCTGGGGTATCCCATGGTTTCACAGACAGCAAAATGCTCAACAGGGATGTGCCTGGGTTTGGATTTCACACAGCCCTTTCTGAAGCCAAATGCCTGCATGACATTGTGCTATAAATGATGACATTAAAGACCCTGACACCCAAGGTCCTCTCTAGGGGACCATGGGCAGTCATCTCTCCCCCACTAACCTCAGTGGGATTAGTTGCTCACATACCAGAAGGTATGGGTTGGGGTGGTCAGTGGCCCCGGACACACAACCTGTATATAGATCTAGGAGATCTACACATACAAACATATAGCCTGTGCCAGAGTTGAACACCTCTGAAGCCTGTAGGTGTAGAGAGCAATTCAGAGTTTGGTTTATTTCAAACAAAGAATAGGTCCAGTGAAGATGTTTGGTTTGGGACCCCTGCCTATAGCTGAATCACATTATAGTTTTGGTCCAAGTATATCTCTACTATATCTCTGGCTGCAGACCTAATCCTTTATACATAAGTTGATGGCTGTGTGCACACACAGGCAAATGCAGAGAGGTCTCTGGGGAAGGCAGGCAGTGAAGTGGGGAATCTTGCACATTGGGAGCCTGCATGGAGCCCAGCTGATGAATAAATAGAGTGCTGACTTCTGACAGTGCCAGTTTCTTAACCTTTGGGATCATTAACAACTTCTGCCTTCCATTGGAAAAAAAGCCAGCAGTTCCTGCATTTTTCTGAGACACAAGTAAAGCATTTAGCACCACAAATAAGCTCATAATTTGACAGGCAAAATGCCAGGAAAAGTGAAAGCAGATTTCTCCCTCCAAGGCCCTGAATATCTTAATGATTCTTTACTTGCTTTTTAAATGCTATTTCCTTTTTGTTTAATCACAGGTTTGGGTCAAGACACTCTTCAAAATACCATGCCCTGTCCATGTGCATTTTCTTAACCTTAAAGATGTTCACAGTTTCCTGCTTTACCAGCCAAAACAAACGCAACACAGAAATGCCTATGCACATCCACAGCAGTCACCGAGTATGTTTCATTTTTAATTTATCTACAGATGGATGTACCATCCATACTTTCTTTTTTTTTTTTTTTCTTATATGCAAAGCCGGCAACCACAGAGTTGGCATAACAAGTATTCAAGAAGCTGTATTTGCTGTGAAACTCATCAAAAGGAATTAGATACAGTATGTGAACAATAACTTTAGATGACAGGGCTACAAAAATTGCTGAGGGGGATAAAGGCCGTAGGCAGACAGAATATTCAAGCCCCTTGAAAATGAAATAATGCTGTGTCTTCCCCAAAGGACTTCCAGCCAAGGAGCCCAATGGGTTTGCACAAGGGCTCTGGAATCTGGTGGCACCGTGGGGTAAGGTCTGCCTGTCCCTTGCTACTTGTTGGAGAGAAGTCTTTGGCTGCTCTCTTGGGACTGATCTGAGAGGATGGGATTGTTCTCCTTCCCCTACCTGTTCTCTGAAGGACCAAACTTCTGTCACAGCTGGTCACTCAGTATTGCAGAAATATGATGCTTCAGCACAGTGGGTGTCCCAGTGCTTTACTCATCTAGGACAGTGGTTCAGGGAAGAGAGTAATGTAGCACGGGGCTTTGCTGCATTTCAGTGGGACTGCTGCCGCATCAGAGCAAGGTGATAGTTGCAGCATTTGCATCAGGTCAGAATAAGTGAAATTCTGACTGAGTATAGGGCAAAAAAGATACCTGTGAGAGTGGTTCAGCATTGAAGCAAGTGCCCAGCAAGGTTGTGGACTCTCCATCCTTGAAGACAGTCACAACTTAACTGGACAGGCCTCAGCAACTTGCTCTAACTTTAAAGCTAGCCATACTTTGAGTGGGTGGTTAGACTGGAGACCTCCAAGGATACATTCACCCTAAAATGTGCCAGAATTCTGTGACAGGGAAGGATCCCCTCCCCTCCCTTCCCCATACATCTTTTTGGATAGGCACTTGCTGCTTTTCTGCTAGGAAGAAAAGGTTTGAAGGTAACCTATCACTCCACATACACACGTGATTTTGAGGAGAAGCTCACATCCTGGTGGCAATTTTTCAAAGTTAAATGACATGTTGAAGATCATGCAGTACATTGGCAGTAGAGCGTGACTATGCTCTGGTAGTCTGAGCACTAATGTTTTGTAGCCAGAGGATTTGCTCTTGCCTGGTCCCTCTAAGGAAAGGAAAAGAACATCTCTGTGGGTAGCTTCTGTGAGGAACCTGTCGCCATGGTGAAATGCCAGTTGTGATTATACTATGTAAACCTCCTGAAATCCATGTGTCAAGTGGCAAAAAATTAACCTTAAAATTAACCCCTAACAATCACATTAAAGGGAGAAGAATGATATATTTAGTTTTACTTAGTACTCACCAAGGAGAGAATGGACTCCAGCTTTGTTCATTAATAATTAATAAAAAATTTATTAATTTTCTTAAAGAAAGGGCTCAGTGTCTGAATTACACCTCCTTCTTGGATCCCAGTACAACTCCTTTGCTACTCGCTTTTGCATTTGCTCTTGGGATTTTTTTTTTTTTAAATCTTTTTTCTTCCACTTCTTGACAACAAATCCTAGAGAAGTTAGCCAGGCTGCAGGACAAAGACATTGATGCAGTTGGGAGAGCTGTGAGAGCCATATGCTGGTTGAGTTGCAAATAGACACAGGCCTGTTTCTCCTGCAGTCCATAGCAGGATGCTAAATAAGGGGTTCAGCCCTTCAGGAGCAAGCCCCCCCTCCGATGACTGTACACCCCACTCAATGCAGTGAGGTAGCTAGCAGTACCACACTCTAATTCATTCATTAATCGTGCCACAACGAGATGCATGGCTGAGCTGACTGCTGCAGGGGTGCTTTAGGGCTCTGGGTGTAAATAAAAACCCAAGTCCTGCTGCTACGCTGGCACAGCCTCACAAAGAGAGAGCACCCCACCACCCGGCAGGCGAAGCCCGCCTGCTTTCCGTACCCCGGGCGGTGACCCGGGCGGGCACCCCGCCGCTCCGTACGCGGAACGGGAGGGAGAGGAAGGGCGTGGGGACCCTCCTCTAGAGCCAGCAGTGCTTACCGGGGTGCGGCTGCCTGCGGCCGGGGAGAGGCTTGGGCAGAGCCCCCCGCTGCTGCCTCGCCCCTACCTGCAGCCAGCGGCGAGCGGCAATGAGCCGAGAAGCGCGTTAGTTTGCGGCGTGCGCTGAGTCCTCAACATGGCTTTTGCTCAATTTAGCGATAAAACAGACTTGCTTCTTGGCCAGTTCTCGGTGTTTATTTACCCCGGTGCAAGAACTCTCGGCATGAGAGGGGAGGGGGGGGAGGAGGGGCCGCCCCCCCTCCCCCGCCGGTCCCTGGGCGCTGCTCCCCGGCCGCGACGGGGGCTGGACCAAACACGGCCGGTTTCTGCTTCCCCAGAAGGTTTTGTGGAAAGGAAAGCAAGTGCCTCGTGGTGGGACACCGGGGGTAGAGGGTGGGAGGGAGATTTTCTTGGATCGGTGCAATTTCTGCATGTCAGAAGATTTGCACACGGTTCCTTGTTTCTTTTTTCCCCCTTCCCAAAGCTGTGAAATTTTAAGAGGTATGGAAAGCGCAGGTCCTTACTCAGGTTTTCGGGTCAGCGAGAAACTCGTGATCAGCTAAGATGAAATCGCTCTGACTTTTCCCTGGGTTTGTTTGTGACAGGCTGCTTACAGGGAGTGCATCGCATGCACCTTCGGAGCTGAAGGAGGAAGTCGAGGGAATTGTTCTGGAGTTGCGTGCATGTAACAGTGGTTAATTTGGGCAAAAGCCTGTGACAAGAGCAATCACAAATGATTTCCGAAGTTGATTGTATTATTCCATCACACAGAAAAGGGAAACTACAGGCCCCCTTTTCTTTCACAAGGTATGATTAATTCCCATTGATTTAATCACTGCTGGTGTGTGTGTCAAGTGGGGAAAGAACAGAGGGAAGAGGGAGGAGCCAATAGCAGAAAGCCAAGCATTATCTCTAATCCTAAATTTTCTTCACTGGAAGTCACTGAAAGGCCTCAGCTACAGAATAATGTTCATACACCTATTTTTTTTTTTTCCTGCCATAAACAGCAAAACATTTTATGAACAGAGTGGGGAATATGGATAGTAAAGTCAGGGCTCCAAGATTACTTCACTGCTTATGGTAAAGTGCTGCAAGTCTGGATTTGAGAGGTTGCTAGTATCACGCTTCAGGGTCTTAACAAAGCAAACAAATCTCTGCAAAAATGGAAACACCTTCCCCGTGACAGGAGTGCCACTGCCTACGCAGCTATTGGCAGTTTGCAAAGCTTGTGTAATCCGTCATGGGAATAAAGGACAGAAATATTTCTAGATGCAGCACTTTTTTGCTGATTTCAGGATTGCCCTGCAAAGCAATATGACCGTTCCCATGAATTAAGCTCTTGCATGTTCCCTGTCTCTTCTTGAGAACTATCTTTCTCCAAAAAAGAACAGCGTCTGTCAAGGACACCTCATCCATATTCCATGCTTTCAGTGGGCTCATTCATGTGGCAAGAAAGACCACAGCTTAGCTAAGTGAAAGTGGGCTGATGTTCTAATTTTGTTCTTCTAAATTCCTTTTGTTTTACAATCTATTTAGGATTAGAAACTTTCTTAGGAGATGTAATTCTCCTGAAATGGAGTTTCTGTCAAAAAAAGTAGGGACAAGGGAAAATCTTAAAAAGTTTGAAACTTCTTGTTTCAGCAGTCTTTAATGGAATAGTGCTTCATAAAAGCCCATAAAAATGTTTTGTTTTGACATTTTCCAAATGAAACTTTTTGACCTTTTGTTTCATAATGGCATTTCTAATTTTAAAAGTGACCTAAACTAAAAGGAAACAAAGTTGAACAAGAAAACTAAACACCTGGAGAATGAAGTGCACATTTCATTTTGGATTGAGCAGTTTAGTCTGAATTACCCCATCAAGAAACCCAAAATCATTTCCTGTAATCAGAATGATATTTCCCTGATTTGTCAACATAGGACAAAAATAATAAAAACATCTCTTGCATGCCTTGGCTTCAATCTAAACCCATGGTTGGACAAAGTGAGCATTTTTGAATTTGTTTTGCAGTGACAGCAAAACCTTGAATAACAAAGGAGTTGCCTAAGTTGCTTCTAATTTCTCTGTTGAGTTGGAGCAGGTTGGTTGGAAAAACACTGCAACAGCAAACCCAGCCTGGTACTTTTTGGTGATGTGAGAAGTACAGACACAGGTAGTAAAGAAGACAGTGAAAAAAATTGGGCTGATGGTCAGCCCTGAAACCGGCCAGCTGCAACTAAATTTCTGAGCTGAGAGGTGCTATGAGCTCTTTTGTACTGTTATGGTCTCTCATCTAAACACAGCCCTAAGTAATTTAATTTTGTCACTGAAGTCCTGCGTTACTGACCTGGCTGCCCCAAACAGCTTCCTTGGAGCTCTTACTACATCCCCCTCAGCACTGTGGCTGCTGCCCATGTGTACTGAGCTTGGAGGCTAAAAATACTCCCAGTTACAAATGCTACTACATAGCGGGAGCATTTTTTTCTTCCTACAAAATCCCTCCATGTGGATTGTGTTACTGACCTGTTTTGGCTAGCACATGCCATCTGGGAATAACCAGCCTCTGAAACTGAAACCTGCTGGGGGCTAGTGCAAACCTGATTCTGCCCTGAGACCTGAGCGCCTTTTTGAGGGCAGGTGGGAGACTTACCCGTGATCTTCTCAGGTGCCTCCTCTGGGGGTTGTTCCCTCAGAGGGGTCAGAATCTGGTTTACTTCTCTTCAGGGGTGGTCCAGACTTGACAAAAAGTGGTGGTCAGTGCCCCCCTCCCTGGTCCCTGTAGTGACTTCCCCTTCATGCTACTCAATATTTGAGCTCTGATGTAGTTCCCCTGCCTAGTGCTGGTCACCCAAACCTACCGTTCACACGAGGGTTTAACTCCTTCTTTCCTTGCGAAGCCTTTCAAATCTTTGAGGGGATGGGAAGGGGCTTGATGAGGCTCCTGCCATCAATATGTGGATAGAGCAGGGGCTGAGTGTATAGGAAACTTAATTCTGTGTAGACTACACCATCCAGACACTTTGGCTGTCACTCCTTACCCTGTAAATCCAGTGCAATTTTACCAGCATGAGTTGAGCTTCCCTTTTTATCTGTGCATGAGGTCAACATTTGGCTTAGAGTCTGTCCTTGTCGTTGTGTATATATATATATGTATAAAAATAGCTATATAGATACATATAAATTAATATAAAGTTCAACAACCCTGTGAAATTAAGAACACAAATGTCACTGTAGTAGCTTGAAAAAATAAGTGATGCACGCTTAACTCTTCTGGGCTACCCTTTCATGTTAAGAACAGCTTCTGCAAACAGGGTGTCAGGAAGGACTGGGTGACTTAAGAAGTTTGTGATGAGGCATGGAGCCCTTCACCTTTGGCTATCTGATTGAGATGTGACTCCATGCAACAGCTTGCTCCCATCAAGAGAGTTTGTGTTACTTCTGCTTCTGTTCAGTGGACAGACCTCTCAGAAACTGCCAGACCCTTTAGTCTGAGCTGAGGTTCCCATTGGAAAAAAGGCTGTGAATAGAATAGGTGGAAGATGGTATTTCTTTCTTTCTCCTAGTTCAGGGCCAAGGCATACTGGCATGGCACCAAGGACATAGCTGCACTTCCCCTGCCCTAGGCAATGAGGGCTTTGGGACCCTGGATATACTTGAAGCATGTTTCATGGGCGCTAGCGATGGGCGTGTAAAAGAGCAGTTTATTACAGCAGAAGCTCTGCTGATAGCACGGTGCCCGCAGTGCACTCACAGCGATGGTTGGATTATTAAGGGATGTAAAAAGAGCCTTTTAGAGTGTCACTCCTACACACTAGGGTACAGCAGGAGGTGCACAGCAGCGGTCTATGTGTCACTCACAGCAGGGATTGCCGGCACAATGGGTTCTGTTTTTGCTGCCTGTTCAGTGTTATTTGTTTTATGTTGATACTGTCGATGCACTTAAAGAGATTATATATTTTTCCCATGGCATAAACAAAATGACTTGCATTTTGCAAGGAGAGTAATCGTAATGAGAAGTCAGGCTTCAAGGAGGAATGATGGTAAGGTTGATGGCAAGGAGAAATAAATCTCTTATGCTCAAGTTGGT